GTAAAGGAACAGGAGAGAGCCATGCTCAGTTAAAAAAAAAGCAACAAGAAAGTAGTCAATATAAACTGGCTTTAAGTGTCTCCAGATGTTGCAATTAGCAGACAAGGTTTCAAAGCAGATATTATAAATATATTTAAAATGGTGTTAGCTTTTCATCACTGTGACAAAATAATTGAGAAAAAAAACTTAAAGTATAGATTTCTTTTTTAAAAAACTAAAAATCATCATTTATTTCTTATTGCAAAATTTATACATGGGTATTGTAGAAAATACAGACAAGCAAAAATAAGAAAATAAAGGCAGGGTGTGGTGGTGCAAGCTGGTAATCCCAGCGGCTTGGGAGGCTGAGGCAGGAGGATCACCAGTTCAAAGTCAGCCTCAGCAACTTAGCAAGGCCCTCAGCAACTCAGTGAGACCCTGTCTCTAAATAAAATACAAAAATGGGGCTAGAGATATGGCTCTGTGGTTAAGCACCCCTGAGTTCAATCCTTAGTATTGGGGAAAATCAAATCTAACCACAATTCCCTTGCAATCAGAAAATATCATGTTCACTTGTTATTTCTCTTTCACAGCAGAGCATTTTTTCCTTCTATGAATATAGATGCTCAGTTTTGTTTCATTCATAAAGATGGAATCAGCCTGTATGTATCGCTTTTAATATTTTCATCAACAGTATATCATATAAATTTCCCCATAATCCAGTGTTATTCCTTAGCATTAGTTGCATGACTTTTTAAAAATTAGAGCTTTATAGTTATACGTAATAGTGGGTTCATTCTGACAAACTCATACATGCATGGAATTCAATTTCAGTTCATAATCCCTCCTTTTTCCCTCCCTTTTGCCCGTTCTCCTTACTCTACTCTACTAGACTTCCTTTTGATCATCTATTTATTTGTATTTGATTGGTTCTTTTTACTTACACATAAAGATAAAATTCCTTGTGGTATATTTATATATGTGCATAACATGATTTTGAAAGAATTCATTGCACATTATGCCTCCCCTCTTTCCCATCCTTCCACTGGCTCACTATTTCAGTCCATGTTGAGCTGACTCCACTGTTTCTGGGCCTGTGGTAAGGCAGAACATCATGGCAGAAGGTTGTGGTGGAGGAAAGCTGCTTCCTTCATGGTATGTGGGAAACAGAACAAAACGAAGTGGTTGGGGACAAGAAGTGTTCCTCAAGGACAAGCCACTATGGATCAAGTCCCTTCAAATAGGTCCCACCTCCTACAGTTTCTACTACCTCCCAATTGTGTACTCAGCTATGGACAGAGTAATCCACTGATGAAGTCAGAGTCCTCATGATCCAATCACTTTCCCAAAGCCCCACCTCTGAAAGATATAATAAGCAAACCAACAATAAAAGTCAGTAATTTCATCTGGTGCTTTAGTTATTCCAGTATGGCCATAACATCCAACATAAAAAACTGACTTCCTAAATAATATTTTCTCAAGACAATAGATAGCCTACTTTTAGTACATTTGTAGCTGTAAAAATCATTAATAATCATAACTGTGTAAATTATAGTACAGTTTACATGGTGCTTTCATATGTATTTTGTTATTAGAGTCATCTTCCTGCACACTGAGGGAGGAAGGGCATTTAACCTTTAATTTGCTAAAGGAAGGAAGGTTGACTGATTTATCCAGTGAGTGACATAATGAGCCCAATCTCAGAGTTCAAGACTCCAAGTTGAGTGCCTTTTTACAACACATTTGCGACTCCATTGTACAACTCCCAGTAGAGGAATGTGAACACTTACATACTAAAAGAGGGAATCACAATGGTGAAAATGACAGTTCCTTCTCTGTGTGTGTTCTTAGTACCCATTTGTTGGTAGGGAGGTTGAGGAAACCTAGCTTGTGGCCTGAAATGGTACAGAAATAGGTATCAAAGTGATCACACATTGACCCAATGACACCAAGTCAATTCTAGCCCTCTTTCATCTGAGCATCTAGTCTAAGTGCAACATATGGTAAGCAGGGGAAATTTTATTGAAAACGGACTTCATGACCTTGCAGACAGTCATTTAAATGAAATCAGATCTAGATTCTTTCTTTCCTGGGTATCTTTATGCCATCCTTGTCTAAGAAGCTTATTCTATCTGTTACATAACTGAGAAGGAATACATCATTCTAAGCTGCAACTGAAAGTCTTGGCTGAGTACTCTGATTCCAGCAGCTTCCTTTGAATCTTATTTCAGAAACTTGATGAGTCTCTTATGGAAGAGAGATTGAGTTCAGTCTCTGGAGCTGCACATGTTGGATTTGAATTCCAGTTAGCTGTGTGATCTTGGTGAAATTACTTAACCTCTCTGTGCCTCTGTTTACTCATCTGTAAAATGGGAAAAACCTATCTCATTATGAAATTTTAGGAATGAAACGTGACAGTAAGTAAGATGCTTAAAAGAATATCTAGATCTTCTTTCTAGTCCTCTGACTTCTGTAAAAAATCATTAATATTAATTGTTAATATTAACCAATTACAATATTAAATGCTAGTATTTATTATTAGCAGTAATAATATTTAATAAAGCTGACACTATGAATTTATGCCAGGGACTTTCATGTTGTACTTGATATATATGTTTTTTTAGTTGTAGATGGACACGATATCTTTATTTTATTTGTTTATTTTGATGTGGTGATGAGGATTGAACCCAGTGTCCCTGCATGTGAGGCAAGCACTCTACTACTGACCTACGACCCCAGACCCCTGTTACTTGCTTTTTAAAATGTTCACTCTTATTTTTTTCAGGTGCCATCCATAATATCTATGGGAGGTTCATGGGATTAATGATATTCAGTATTTCCCCTGTGTTACACATATGTGGAGACACACTACCTTGTCATAAAGAACCTACGTTTTAGAACTCTTATATAGGACTTTTGCTAGTATTAGCTTGCCACATTTGGCATAGTTATCATTTGCCCATAGCAGCAAGCAACTTAGTGCAAATCCCAGGAATCATTATTAACCCCTGTATCCACCTCTGCAGTTAGTAAAGGGTGTATATCTTTGTAGTATGTGTTAGTACCCCCTTTTCAGTCTAATCTTTAGCATAATTGAAAACGAAATTCCAGCAGTAAGCAGTAAAAATTCTGCTTCCAATGTTTATACATGCAACTTGAGAAGGTTACTGATGAAGTGCCAATTTTGCTAAACTAATGCTGAAGGTGGATGGCAATACAAAGCTTTGATTAATACTTGCTGTTGGTAAACTGGAAGAAAGTGATATTTCTGGTTATATAATACCATATTTAAAGCCCATTACTTTTCAAGATACTGTATTAAATTTGATGCTACATTTTGGATAAGTATGTTAATGCTGAAATTACTATGAATTTACAAAACCCCAATGGATTTCATTGTATGAAAAATGAATTGAATATGATTGTTTACTTGGGGAAATAAGCAGCTATTGTTCTTCTCTAAAGAGTAAAAAAGCTTTTGTATATTGAGTTACCTTCAATTTTCTTGAAGATTGTTCCCTTTATTAAGTGTTTAGATGATCTACATAATCCACCACAAAGGATATTGAGAAAGTAATAAGAGAAAGATAATTTAAAATTACTTTAGGAGGTTGTTAGAGTTCCAAAGAGATGGTGTGATGGAGATAGATGTCACTGAAACTCAAAGATGTTTTATTATTTGTGAGTTACTAAGGGATAGAAATGCGCTAGGTTTTTACACGATTACAAAAAAAAATCTGTTTCTTAATGAGATTCTGGGCCGTCATTTTGGAACGCAGTAAATGTTGCAATTTATCTAATGGCATAGTAGGAAGTCCTCAATAAGTCTTGAAAAAGTCATATGTATAAGAACTTTGTTCACGTGTGTGTGTGTGTGTGTGTGAGAGAGAGAGAGAGAGAGAGAGAGAGAGAGAGAGAGAGAGAGAAAGCGCCAGAGTGAGCGAGTGTGAGGGTGCGAGACAGATATTGAAGAGGTTTAACTTCAAAAATACTAAGTTAGAGTAAGTGTTCAGAGTCTGGAGTCTATAGTGACTCTGTCAACTTCCCCATTCAGTGATTCTTCCCCTCTCTCCACTTGTCTCAGGTGATGCAATATTGGTATCCATTAAAAGTTTTCAGGTTTTAACAAAAATAAGGAGAAAGAAAATAGACACAAACAACCAGAATAGCGAATAATTGACAGAAACACTTGGGAGACCATCACTATTCACTTGCAGAATTAGGCAAATTCCACTTTTCTCTTTCAAAATGGCCTAAACAGGCAGGGGCCGGGGCGCGCGCGCAAACGCCCGGATGGGCCCTAGCTTCCGGCGCACTCCCAGCGGACCCGTAGGGAACGCGCACCGCGGAGTTCTCAGAGTTGGGCGCACAGCGGTATTCAGCGCACCGTGGGCTTCTGTGCACCACAAATCTCCGCGAATTAGTGACCTGGGCGCATGGCCGACCTAGGTGCATGGTGGACTCTGGCGCATTGGTGACCTGGGCGCTTTGGGGACTTCACCTCACCGCGGACTCTGGCGCACCTCAGACCCCGGCGCATTGGTGAACTCGGCGCACCGCGAGCCCCGGCGCATTGGTGACCCAGGCACACCACGGACTCCGGCGCACAGGGGACTCTGGCACATTGGTGACCTGGGCGCTTTGGTGACTTTGGCGCACCGCGCCCCACGGCTTCTGAGGGGGTGTGTGCGGCTCTATGTGACTAGAAGACGGAGCTTTAAACCGAGTTTGAGGGGCGGCCCTGGCTCCTCTGCCGAGTTCCTGCCGCTTCCGCCGCCAGGGAGCCTCCTTTCTCTTTGGACTTAGTTCGAGCGCCGGTGACTTGGGACGCGCGAGTAGAGTGGTGGCCGAGGTCCCGGGCGTCGGGCTACCGCGCATCCTGTGAGGGAAACTGGGCGGCGTGAACGAAATCCCCCTCCCCCCGCCCGAAGCGCGGAAAAATCCCACGTGGTGAGGCGCAGCGGCGTTTACTGGCTATTGGACACACCTGTGGTCACAGACGTGAGGTACGTTTTCTTTACTGGTCCACGCGGTTATTCAATACCAACATGTCTCTGTCTACTGAGGGTGCCATGAGCACCTCACAGCCTCCAGCTTCGGAACCAGAGACCCTGTATAGACCAAAGCCATTGTTTATGAAGTTGTTGAAGTCTGTTGGTGCACAAAACGACATTTACACTATCAAAGACATTATATTTTATGTTGGCCAGTATATAATGACTAAACGATTATATGATGAGAAGGAGCAGCATATGGTATATTGTTCAAATGATCTTCTAGGAGATTTGTTTGGAGTGCCAAGCTTCTCTGTGAAGGAACACAGAAAAATATATGCAATGATTTACAAAAACTTGGTAATAGTCAATCCGCAGGAACCACCAGATTCCAGCACATCTGTGAGTGAGAGCAGATGGCACCTTGATGGTGGGAGTGATCAGAAGGACCCTGTGCAAGTGCCACAGGAAGAGAAACCTTCATCTTCCAGTTTGGTTTCTAGCCCATCTACCTCAACTAGAAGGAGAACAATTAGTGAGACAGAGGAAAATTCGGATGAATTATCTGGTGAACAACAGAGAAAGCGCCACAAATCTGACAGTATTTCTCTTTCCTCTGATGAAAGCCTTGCTCTCTGTGAAAGAAGCTGTAGCAGTGAATTGACAGAGACTCCAGCAAATCCAGATCATGATGGTGGTGTAAGTGAACATTCAGCTGATTTGTTGGATCAAGCATCCGTTTCTGATCAATTTAGTGTAGAATTTGAAGTTGAGTCTCTTGATTCAGAAGATTATAACCTTAGTGAAGAAGAACAGGAACTCTCAGAAGACATTGATGAGGAAAGTCTAGTTACTGCACATCACGCAGTAGAAAGTGATTCAGATTCATTTGAAGAAGGTTCTGAAATTTCTTTAGCTGACTATTGGAAATTTACTTCACACAACAAAATGGACCCTGCCAGTGGTGAGAACTGCCTTCCTAAAGATAAAGGGGAAATCCCTGAGAAAACCAAACTGGAAAACTCAACACAGGAAGAAGAGAACATGGATGTGCCTGATGGTAAAAACTTTACAGTGAAAGATTTTAAAGACTCTTGGGTTGAGCAAAATGATAATGAATTTACCCAAGCCTCCCAATCACAAGAAAGCAAGGATTATTCTCACCCATCAACTTCGAGTAGCATGATTTGTAGCACCCAAAAAGATGTCAGACGGTTTGAGAGGGAAGAAACACAAGAAGAAAGTATGGAGTCCAGTTTTCCCCATAATGCCATTGAACCTTGTGTGATATGCCAAGGTCGACCTAAAAATGGTTGCATTGTTCATGGCAAAACAGGACATCTTATGTCATGTTTCACTTGTGCAAAGAAACTGAAAAAAAGGAATAAGCCCTGTCCAGTGTGCAGACAACCAATTAAAATGATTGTATTAACTTACTTCAACTAGTTGCATTTTGTTAAAGTAGTATTATACATTTCTAGCTATAACTCTAAAAATTTAGATAACCTGGATTTTATTTTTGCTTACATGTATCAAGAGAAGTATCCCCCTGTAGATTTCTTTGTAGTGTAATTTACCTACTTTGGGAAGAAACATAGTGAATATGTTCTTTTCTTTTATGAAAATTTCACTTCTGTTTATATTTTGCATTTGGATTTTAATGTAATTTACATTAGATATATATCTCATCCTTTACCTTTATCCCTCATATTCTATATAATTTCTACTTTTTCTTAGGTAAGAAGTATCTGATTTTCTTTTGCTTAAATATAATTAAGACTTTTAAATGTAACTGATTTAGTACCCGTCACGTAAAGAGAAAAATATGTATATGAGATTTAATATCTAATTTGAGATAATATGAAACTCTCCAATTCTTAAGTTTTTCTGTTCTTTCATAACTTAGTGCTATTTAAGTAAAAATGTACTTCTTATTCCAAAAATGTTGTCTTTTTTTAAAATTTTAATATAAAGAATATGTAGTAAGAATTGTCAATTGAGGATAGCCATTATTTACCTTCAAAACTTTTTAAGGCTCCCTTGTAAAATGTAGAATTGTCCTGAAATAATTGGGTATATACAGGCTCTTTTCGACACCTAATTTCAGAATTTCATGTTTCTTGTAAGTTGAAAAACAATTCTTCAGACAATTTGAAGCACCTTCTTGGGCTAGGTTACATGGTTCTTGACAGTTCCCTAGATTTCAGCTCTTGGCTTAAAACCAGTTTTAGGAACCAGTGAATTTAGAAAGATTAACTCAGAAGTTTGATAGACAGCATTGTTCATTTTAAAACAAGCTGGAGCTGTGCACATTGGTGCACACCTGTAATCCCAGCAATTTGGGAAGCTAAAGCAGGAAAATCCTAAACGAAAGGAAGGCCAGCCTTAGGAACTTAGCAAGATCCTGTTTCAAAATAAAAAAAAGGACTGGGGATCTAGCTCAGTGATAAAGCAACTCTGGGTTCAATCCTCTACCAAAAAAAAAAAAAAAAGAGAGAAAACTGGAAAAGGTTGTAGCTTCTCTTTAAATTATCCAAAAATTGTGCATCACTTTTCTTTAAGAAGGACAAGGTCAGAACATAGCATTCTAAGATGATCCTTCAGACTATGTAGATTAACTTCTTAACTAGTATTAAATAAGATTCTTAATTGTGAAAATGACCACCTTGATTCAAGGGCCCAGTACTTTTCTCCAATGTATGATGATGTATATACTCAGTTGAAGACAGTAAAATCAACTGGACTGTAAGTGTAGAATAAAACAAAAGGATAATTTTGCACAGGCAGGTATTAGTGACAACATTGTTGGTTTCAAAAACAAAAGCAATCATAACCCTATGACTTATGCATCTACACATACCTAAGCAGGAAACAAATGCCTGAAGAAATCAATACTTTGGCAGTTTTCAAAAATTTTAAATCTTTAATAATTTGGAATTTACAGTATTTTGACCAAGGAAGGAAGGATATACTAAGAAAAATCCATCCTTTCTGAGAAAAGTTGGTAGTAATGAGGTTATAAATGACACACCTTCAGGGTGTATGTATGGAATGAGGGCTATTTACTCAACATTCCACCCTGTAAATGGAGTCATTGTTAATATGTATGTGGATTACTAATGTCGTCTAATTACTAATGTTAGGTTTGTATATATGCATTATTTGTTGATTTCCAAATGAAGGATTTATTAAAAGTTTGATTTAAAAATGGCCTAAACAGCTTTCCAGGGCACCATGAGGATATTGACTGCAGCTATTCTCACAAATGAGTCAAATCAGTTTTGGAGGAGTATTTTTCCAGGGGGGCTTTTTATCCTTCAATTTTAAGATTTTTAAAATGCTAAAAACACAGTTAGCTTAAACAAATACATGTGAACCAATACATTAAACAATTTCAGAGTCTTGAATGTGATAAAATATCCATGTACCATAAAAGCAGTCTACTTCAAAGACACCATTTTCTGGATAAGACCCATATTCAGAACATTTATCAGTCTGTATTTTAGAAGCTGGTGATTTATTTCTCTTTTTATTCACCAAAATCTTATGTTGCCTGCATGCAACACCAAAAGAACTGGACAACTGCATGACAAAATCACACTAGTATGTTGGCTTTATTGTTCATCAAAAAAGGACAGAAATTAAAAGTGCCAAAGAAAGTTTCAGCAAATACTATAGACAAAGGGTTAATTTTTTTGTTGTGTAACACTAATGTAGTTTATTTTATTTTGGGGGCAGGGTGGTAGAGATTCAACTCATGGGCACTTGACCACTGAGCCACATCCCCAACCCTATTTTGTATTTTGAGACAGGGTCTCACTGAGTTGTTGAGTGCCTCACTTGTGCTGAGGCTGGCTTTAAACTCTGGATCCTCCTGTCTCAGCCTCCTGAGCCACTGGGATTACAGGCATGCACCACCATGCCTGGCCTGCAGTTTAATTTTTTAAAAATTCCCTAATATTCCCAATAGATTAATGTACAAAATTTGTAAATAGTTCACAAGAGGAAATAGAACTAGCAAACATTCAGAAAAAAAAGCCTCACTTATAATCAAGGAAATGCAAATTAAATAAGGCACCATTAATTTACTTATTTTAAAGAGACATTAAAAATAATACTCAAAGTTGGCAAGGATACAATGAGAGGAAATTGTTCACACACATTGCTAATGGCAGTGTATATCATTACAATCCCCCAAAGCCACCAAAATGTTCAAACCTTTTGGCTCATTAATTCAACTTCTCGGAATCTACTCTAAGAAAATAAGATGTTCATGGTATCTTTATATACATTTATATCTAGTTATGATATAAATGGGGAGGGAGGAATGTAAATATCCTGCAATGTGGAAATGTATATGTAAATTATGGGATATCCACTGTGCACAGCCATTAAAATGTTTGTAGAAATTGTGTAGAAACATGCAAAAAGATCTAAAAATCTGAAATGAAGGAAGCAACGTGAAAAAATTATGTGTATAGTATGACTAGAAGGAAATGGGCCAGAATGATAGCAGTTACCCTTAGAGGCTGGTAGGATTATAAGGGAGATTTCTTATTCATTTTTGTAAAGAATCAAGTGATTCTGTTACATTTGTAGACTACTTCCTCCTAGCAGTTCATTCCTTACATGTTTCCTTAAGAAAAAGAAACATAAGGGAATCAGTCAGGATTTCACTTTCCTTTTAAGAGTTTTGTAAATTCAGTGTTTTCTGAATCTGTCAATCAGCATTAAGGTAGAAGGTCTTTCTTGAGGAAAAAATATTGTTATATTTCCAAAGAGTACTACTGCCTTTGCTAATTATTCCCTAGGCACTGGTGTGGTCACATTTCTTCAAACCATTGTGCTATATGAAGGCTTGTGCTCCTTAGACAATGCTCTATGTACACACATACACACACACACACACACTAATATATATGTTAAGAATGAAAAATATTAAGAAAATAAAAGGATAGAAGAAATGAGGTGATCCCCAATGCATACATATATACACAGAGACCCATGGGTGTAAAAGCAATAAAGATTGGAGTGTATATGAGAGGGTTGGGGAGAAGAAAGTAGAGGAGGGGAGATGAGGAGGAGTAATAGATAATGTAACCATGGCCTTGAATATACCCACCACTTTTTTTGTAATATCAACCTGAACTTCTCTTCAGTTTCATATGCAATCATAGAATTCCAGAGCCACAGATTTCTTTGAGTTAATTTGGTCTCCTTATTTTACATTTAAAAACAAGGCCCTGAAGCCAGGTGTAGAGGCACACACCTGTAATCCCAGCTGCTTGGAAGGCTGAGACAAGAGAATCAAGTTCAAAGCCAGCGTCAGCAACTGGTGCTAAGCAACACAGTGAGACCCTGTCTCTAAATAAAATACAAAATAGGGCTGGGATGTGGCTTAGTGGTGGAGTGCCCCTTGCCAAAAAGGTAGCCAAATAGTGCGTTCCACAGCTTCAAACTTGTGGCTTTCAAAACTGATATGTCCAAAGCTTAGTGGATTCAGCCTCACTTATAATCAAGGAAATTTAAAAGAAAAATTTTTTTAGTTGACAATGGATTTTTCACTTTGTTTATTCATATGTAGTGCTGAGGATTGAATCCAGGGCTTCACACATGCTACTCAAGTGCTCTACCACCGAGCCACAGCCCCAGTCCTCTTGAGAGAGGAAAGATTATTTACCTAGGATCATTCTACCAGATGTTCCTCTGAAAAACACTGTGAAGGGGGCCAGTGATGTGGCTCAATGGTAATGTGCTTGCCTACCATGTATGAGGCTCTGAGTTTGATCCCCAGCACCGCCCCAAACAAACAAAAAAAGACAATGTGGAACACAGGTTAAGAGCATCAAGAAAATTGGAGATAAATTGTAGGAGTTGAAATCTCAGCTTTGTAGCTTACTACCTGTGTAGTCTTAGCAAGTCACTTAACTGCTCTGTTCCATGGTTTTCTTTATCCATTAAATGGGGGATTAAAACAGCACCTACCTCATAGAGTTCTATAATAATTAAAGGAGTTAATATATGAAATGCACTAGTATAGTGCCTCATACCTGGTAACTGCCATATTAGGTACTCGCTGCCTCTGCTGCTGCTGTTGCATTTTTTGTAATAAATTTAAGGCCAATGATTTCCACATATCAAGTTGTCTCATGAGCATAAACATCTCCATGAGCTTAAATTTTGTGTCAGTGGACTCAGGTGAGGAGGGAAGCATCCCAGTTCACTTCTGAAGTTGTTTGCATTTTGTTAGCAAGTATAAAGTGAAAAGCACAAGGGCAAACCACAGGTGGTGACATTTGAATTTATACTATGTGAACTATCTGAATGGATGTGCTGCAGTAGCAAAGATAATTGACTTCTTTGTTTTTCCCTCTGTTCCATAAGAGCATGTGCTTTACAATACTCATATGCTTTGGTTTAAAATTTATCACTATCAAAATAATAGA